CATTCACAAAAATTAACTCAAAATGGATCAAAGACCTGCAACTATAAAACTCATAGAAGAAAATATAGGCAACATACTATCTGACATTGGTCATAAAGGAATCTTTTCAGATGCCATGCCTAGTCAGACTAGGGAAACTAAAGAAAAAATAAACAAGTGGGACTTCATCAAATTAAAGAGCTTCTACAAGACAAACGAAACCAGGATCAAATTGAGTAGACAACCCACCAGCTGGGAGAAAGTATTTGCAAAACATATATCTGACAAAGGGGGTAATCTCCATAATATATAAAGAACTCACACAACTGAACAACAAAAAAACAAACAACCCGATCAAAAAATGGGCAGAGGAAATGGCAGACACTTCTCCAAAGGAGATATACGGATAGCCAATAGGCATATGGAAAAGTGTTCAACATCACTAATCATCAGGGAAATGCAAATCAAAACAACACTAAGATATCACCTCTCGCCCGTTAGAATGGCTGTAATCACCAAGACAAAAAACAACAAATGTTGGAGAGGATGTGGAAAAAGGGGAACCCTCATACATAGCTGGTAGGAATGCAAACTGGTGCAGCCTCTATGGAAAACGGTATGGAGATTCCTCAAAAAATTAAAAAATCATACCCTATGATCCAGCTATCCCACTACTGGGAATATATGCAGCCAACCTGAAATCAACAATCCAAAGAGGCTTATGCGCCCCTATGTTCATTGCAGCATTATTCACTATAGCCAAGAAGTGGAAGCAACCCAAGTGTCCCTCCACTGATGATTGGATCAAGAAGATGTGGTATATATATACGATGGAATACTACTCAGCCATAAAAAAAGACAAAGTTGTCCCATTTGCAACAACATGGATGGACCTGGAGGGTATTATGTTAAGTGAAATAAGCCAGAAAGAGAAAGATGAACACCGCGTGATTTCACTCATATATGGAATATAAACCAACACATGGTCAGAAAGAACTGCATTGTGGTTACCAGGGGCAAAGGGGGTAGGGGGTGGGCACAGGGGGTGAAAGGAGACATGTGTATGGTGATTGACAAACAAAAATGTACAACCAAAATCTCACAATGTTATAAACTCTTAAGACATCAATAAAAAAAAAATTGCACTGATTTTTATGAAGTTGAAATTAACCAGAGCCTGGGGTGGGGGGGTGGTAAAGCGCAGTATAAAGGGGAGATCAGAGAAAAGGGCAGTGGGTCGTCCAAGGGAATCATCCAAACTCCAGAGAAATTTCTTCTTCCTAAGTCATCTCTTTGTAAGTCTAAACAGGCTAAGAGAAATCATAACTGTCCAGTCCCTGGGCACATGGCCAGGCTGTCCTGTGACTATGCCTCTCCCTGCTAACATGCAGCCCTTTCTCTGGAAATGGTCCTCTAGCAGCCCAGTCAGATGTCACTGTGTCCTGACTGTGTCGTCCTTGTCACTGTTGACTGCAGAGCACTCAGCGTGGACGTGGCACAAGGCATCTGGTGCGATGTGGCGTTTGCTGTCTTCTTGCCGTTTCCAATTCTCTACTCTTTGCGTCTCCTCCCTGATCTCATACTTTTCTTACCAGCACTTTGAACACCCTCCATGCTTTTGCACCTTCTGGATATAGTGAAGGCCTTGGACGCCAGCACTGCCCGTCAGCTTCTGTTGGTGCTGTTTGTCTGCGAAAGATTACAGCTCAGAGTCAAGCGGGGATCTCAGTGGTCACCTGCCCTCAGCCATGGTCCTGCTGCAGTTTTGACCCAGGATCTTGTTGGGGACCCTTACTGCTTCTGAATTTTGAGAATTAGGACAAGCCAGATAACACTGGAAGTAGCTATCATTAGAATTACTTAAGATTTTTTAAATGTTGTCTGTAAATATTTTTAATATCCTGGTTATAATTCTAGAATATGTGGATTTTAGTTTGCAGTTAACATGTTTCGAACATTACCACCTTCCTCCAACCCTACGGGAGCAGAATTTGACCCAGAGGAAGACGAACCAACGTTAGAAGCAGCGTGGCCTCATCTACAGGTACTGACCCTGGGAGGGCGCCACAGTTCAGGTTGTGTGTGGGGGGTATTCTCTACAGCAAGGACACTGGCCCTAGGGCCTCTCCAGCTGGTTGCAGATGGGCCCCTGATCTTTAGTGGCGTAGACTTTGCAAACCTCACATACAAGAGAAGTATTTTAGCGGAAGAGAGGACGTTTAATAGGTTTTTGTTTATTTGGACACTTGACACAAACTACAAAGAATCAGAATTGTAAATATATTTTCAGTGGAAGTGATCACTTTGTTGCCAGCCATTGAATTGAGGCCTGGAGGACTTCTGCAGACATTTCCCAGTGTTTGGTACTTAGGCGTAACGTGTGCCTGCTCTGCACCCCAGAGCTCCCCTGCTCACTACTGCCTGTTTCTGACGCATTTGTCGGGAGAAACGTTGGGTAGCACACCTGGGAGAAGGCGCTGAGACCAGTGTGAGCAGAGCGCTGCCCATATGCGAGATTGGGAGGTGTGGGTCACCCATAGGAGGAGAGATGGACAGGTGAAAAACCTGAGAAGGAACTAGAAGGGGAACAGACAGAAAAGGAGGGCTATCTCTGTAGCAGAACGTGCCCTCGCACGGCGTAACCATGACAGCGTGCAGCCCACTCATGAAGCAGGGAACGTCCCGGCCCCAGCTGACTGCGTCTGTGACCTCTCCCCTACCAGGGCCAGCTTCTTGTCCGCCTGGCTCTCTGCCAGGACTCTTGTAGGTGGCCAGCTGCGAATCTCACCCAGAATTTGGTCACAGCCTGGCTTGTGTCAGCTGTGCACTGTGGTCCCTGAGCAGCACATTTTAAGCATTGGTGACATCAGCTATGGAAATCATTTTGTTTAAATACCATTTAAGGGTATAGTCTGTGGTTCTTAGCTAAATAAAACAATTACTGTCATCAATTATAATTAAATGAAGCCATGTGTGATTTTGCATTAATTCTGTAGAAATGTAGCTTTTTTTAAAAAGCTAATATTTGCAGACAAAGATTCAACTCATGGTGTATTTTAATCTCCATTTAATAAAATACCATGTTATTTGACTTGGTTTTTTTTTCCTCCTAGCTTGTTTATGAATTTTTCTTAAGATTTTTAGAGTCTCCAGATTTCCAACCTAATATAGCGAAGAAATATATTGATCAGAAGTTTGTATTGCAGGTAAGATACAAATTAGCTGAAACTACAAAAGCCATAATCTACGGAGAGAGAACACCAAATCACTAAGTGTCTTTTTCTTCTTGAAGCTTTTAGAGCTCTTTGACAGTGAAGATCCTCGAGAGAGAGATTTTCTTAAAACTACCCTTCACAGAATCTATGGAAAATTCTTAGGCTTAAGAGCTTACATCAGAAAACAGATAAATAATATATTTTATAGGTAAGTCGATGTGTGGATGACAATTCTCTTTTTGCATGGTGATGTTCATTTTCACACTGAATGCTCCCCCCACCTCATCATTTCCTCTGGCAAGTGACTCAGGAGCAGTAGTGGCTGTTTCTGCACAGATTGCTTGTCATGTCCAGGTAGGCCCCAGTCTACACCTCCGTCGGTGCTGGGCTGGGGTTGACCCCCTTCTTCCCTCCTGCCCCTTCCTTCTGTGCCCACTCCCCTACTTCACCCCCTCCCCAGCACCTCACCACATGTCCTTCCTTTGTTTGGGTTTTTACTGAAATGTGCAGTTAACCTGAGTGTGCTTCCCTCTGGAATGTGGATGAATTGATCTGTCGAAGCCAACTGTTCCCTTCCACCTGCACATTACTTCATTCTTCCTCTATAAACGCGGTCAAAGGAAGGAGTGAGGAGGGAAGCAGTAAATCTTTAGAAAATCTCAGAAGATCTGAGAACTTAGATCAGAGGTTTGGAGACTCCCCGGTGCACCAAGGGCAAAGGAGACCCTGCTGGAAGCAGCTCGCAGAGGCAGGGCAGCTTTCCAGCCATCACAGCTGTCCCTAGGCTGGCAGGACCACAGAGGCTGGTAGGCTGGGAAGCTGGTCGCAAAAGTTGTGCTGTCTGGGTTTACCTAGAGGGGCTCGCAGCCCCATGGCTCATGAAAGAATGTTCCATAACATTCCAAGTGCAGTATGATTAGACCTCTTGGCCCCTCACACACCCCTCCTCCCCATCCCAGTCGCCACTTCTTGTTGATTCTTATAAGTCTTAACACCCCTCTGACCTGCTGACATCCCTTCGTGTCTGCTGCCGCGTCGGAGTCACACTGATGACTGATGCCCTTTGGATGAATAGGTACAAGTCCTGGGTGAGGCCCTGGGATGCCCCAGGTCCAGGCCGGCCTTCCTTGTAGTCTGCCTCTCTGCTCACACTCCAGGCTCCTTCCATACCAGCGCCTTGACAGCCTTGTTTGATCCTCCTGGAACGTTCTTTTCCACCAGCCCTTCTCCTCAACCTTACCTCCAAGGCTTCCAGAAACATCCCCTCACCAAAAAGCCTCCCTGTGAGGGCAGGCATCATGTCGGCTGCTTTAACGCACATCCCCCAATGCCAGCTTCATGCCTGGCCCGAGTGGCACTAAGTAAATGCTGATGGATGAAACACTTAATGTTGTTTCTCATCTGTCCCTGGAAAGCCTACTAAATGAGAAGTTTATTCTATGAATTTTGGCTTCTCGAGACGGCTTACCTCTAAGGCCCCTGACTCCAGGGTGGCTCAAGGTAGTGACAAATCCTAGCGTTGAGGGGCGTCCCTCTGTGAGCTAAGAAAGCGGGCAGGTTTCACGTAGTCTAGATGCAGTGCCAGAGTAAGGATGACGGCGCAGGCTGTGCCCTGGAGAGGGCGGTCCGGAAGTGTTGGCCAGAGCACCGCGGAAGCCAGGCAGGTCTCTTCTCAGTCGCCATGACGGAGAAGGGAAAAGAAAGGGGGAGACGAGACAGACGGATAGACGGGAACTAAGATCCCACAGCTGAGGCCCACAGCCCTCTCGGGAAATTAGGCACCAGTTCCCTGGTCCTCTTACCAGCCTGGGCCTGGCGTGCAACCCAGTCTTGAAGTCTCCCTTGCCTGCCCTTTTGCGGTCATCAGGGTCCAGCTCCTCCTCCTTATCTTCGCACTCGATATGACATCTTGGTGTTAGAGCCTTCCAGTTTGTGTGGCTTTCCTTTGAACTTGCAGCTTCCCCACATCCCATTTACGTAAAGGAGCCCAGGGCTGGACACTCCGACTGTAGTCAGAGGATGACGTCATGTTTCCCAGATGCGATATTCTTATTTTATATCTCTTGGCGTCACACTTCCTTTCTCACAAGGTCATTATTTGGCTGATGTATTAATCTATCAAAACATAGTATACACCATTTAAACAACAAGGAACAGGTACAATTTAAATTCCAGTCTTTTAGGCCTAAAATTAAAGCTCTACATAAAGTGGGTTTTTTTCCTAAACACGTAGGTTTTGTTCAGATAACAGAGTCACAAAGCAACACCTGCATTAAAGAAGTAGAAAATATCTCAGACCTTCAAGAACCTTAATTTAGGGCCAGCCCCGTGGCTTAGCGGTTAAGTGCGCGCACTCCGCTGCTGGCGGCCCAGGTTCGGATCCCGGGCGCACACCGACGCACCGCTTCTCCGGCCATGCTGAGGCCGAGTCCCACATACAGCAACTAGAAGGATGTGCAGTTGCTGTATAACTATCACATACAACTATCTACTGGGGCTTTGGGGGAAAAAATAAATAAATAAAATTATAAAAAAAAAAAGAACCTTAATTTAATAACTGAAATACTTAGATTATTATTTAAAAGTTACTATACATAGTTTAGTTCAGTTCTTACTAAGTGCTCAGTGCTCGAGTGTGGTATTTTTGTTTTGTCTTTTAGTAATCTTTCCTATAGTTGCCATTCTTGATATATACACTCACGAGTGAGCATATATGTAGATTCCATAATTGGTTTGGGTCCCCACCTTCAACACCACTGCCTCCTTGTTTCATGTGAGAAAAAATTAAGGAGAAAGATCTTGAGAGATGTATTCGGCTCATTGAAGTTCTACATGGCACAACTGTATCTTGTAAGAAAAAGAATGTTTCAAACATTGTCTGGTTCAACTTATTGAAAGTGTTAATGTAAAGTTCCTATTTATTTCTATAGTTGCTCATTCTAATCAGCGTTTTTAAGCAGTGAGTTAAACAGAGCTCTAGATAACTGATGCCTGTTTTGGCAAACGGGAACCTGAAGGTTAGGTGACAAGGAAGAGCAGGGCTTCAGTTCTCTTTGCTGCATAACAAACCACCCCACGACTTATCAACAACAATTGTGTGGCTCATCAACAACAATTTACTATTTCTGACAATTCTGTAAAAACTGGGCTGCAGGGACAGTTCTTCTGCTCCACAGAGTGTCTGCGAGGGCTGGAATGTCCACAGTGGCTCAGGTCACTTCTCACAGCCACAGCTGGCTTCCCCGAGGGCAAAAGTAGAGGCTGCCAGTCCTCTAAAGGTTGGCCCAGAAGTGGTACAGACTGACCTCTACCCTTTGTCAGACTGACCTCTACCCTTTGTATTGGTCAAAGCGAGTCCCAGGACAGCCCAGATTCAAAGGGAGGGGAAATAGACTCCACCTCTTCACGTGAGGCGCAGAACACACTCTACAGGGAGGAGAGGAATTGATGGCGGCCATCCTGGAGACGGTCTACGACAAGCAGGTTCTGGCTCAGTTTTTGGCGAGTCCTAATTCTTTTTTGCTGAAAGAGTAAGAAACACTCTAGCCTGCCCTCCACAGGTCTTTATGACTTCATCTGGAAAAGTAACAAGGGGAGTTATACTTATTTTCTCTTTTTTTAATACCTACTTCAAATCAGGTTAAAAGAACTAGAAATTAAGAATTTCTCAATAAGAATATAGTAGTGTTGATTTAGGAAAACCAAATAACTAAAACCTTATAACTAAAAGCCATCCATATTTAAATGTTAAAGCTGGTGGAAAGAGATCAAAAGCAATGCCGAGGGGTTCAGGCGCTTCTGTATTTCAGAGGCTCAGAGCTGACCACCCCAGATCTTTGGGAGCCTCGTGCGACCTGCAGCTTTCCCAGCTCTCCAGGTTATAGATGAGAGAAGTCTTTAACTGAAGTTGCTTGGTTGCACTATAAACAAAGCTATGACTTTGTACATTAAAACTGTTTTAAGTATTTTAAATAAAACAAGTGAAGCAAAAGGGAGCCTTCAGGTTGAGTTTCGTAAATTAAAGTACTTCTCAGTGTGGACATCCGCAAAGCCGTGACTTCCACTTGGAGCCAGCTTCCAGTCCCAGGCAGGTGCAGCAGCGAGGGCGATGGGATGTGTGTGATGGCGGCAGGGATGCTTCACCTGCCGTGTAACCTGCCGCCCTTACTCACCACCCAGGTTGCCCTGTCCGTCACGGTAACTCCCTGCTCAGTGGTTCTGACCCCTGATGCCTGTGGGCTTGAGTCTGAACCTGTCTAAGCTGGCATGGAGCCGCTCCGCACATCTGCCTTGCCCACCTCCCCACCCATCACCTACCTCCTGCTCCATGCCACAGACCTTTGTTCCAGCCAAACGAATTCTCTCCCCCTCGCATGCCCCCATTTTTAAAAATCTGTCAGAATCCTCCTTCAGAGCCTAGTTCAAGCACTAGCCCCTCAGTGACTTCTGGTTATTCGGGGATATGGAAACAAGAAGGCCCGTTCTACAGGAATAGTTCACGTCTTATGGGTGTTTGCCCTGTTCTTGACCTAAAGGTCGCTGTTCCATTTGCTTCAAACAGTGACAGTGAAACTTCAGAGTCAAATTTTTAATCATCACAAACTCTTATTTTCGGCTTAGAGTTGTCTCTAAACTAGTAGTTTTCATCTGATAGACAGGAACCTTTTTCAGACACCTCTTTCACTTCAGGCAGAATACGCCGCTCGTATTGGTTTAGACTAACTCCAGGTGAGCAAGGATGTGGGGCGGGGGCGGGTTATTTCTGAGGAAGTGCCTTGAGGGGGAAGGTGTTTTCCTGTTTCCAGTCCCTGTTCCCTCTCAGTGGCCTCAGTTTATTCAACAGACATCTTTCAAGCATCAGACAGATGCCAGGCTCGATCCTAGCACCAGGGACAAAGTGAGGAAAAGTCCTGGTCCTTGACCTCAGGCCAACCCAGGGTGGGGGGAGTGCTGCAGGAGCCCCAGGATGTACACACAGTGGTTCCAGCGGGAGAGGCTTCTCAGATTCAGAAGATGGTGCTTGATGCAGCTTAGGGGAAATGCGGGGGTGTCAGTGGGGAGGTAGGCAAGACAGCCCAAGTGGTAAGGAAGAACTATCCCCTTGCAGAGACTTGGCGAAATGTTGGAGGCTATAAAATTGAGTCAGACGTCAGCTCATGTTGAAATGCAGAATAAAATAAGATGGGTTAAGGGATGGATAGAGGGATTGATGGATGCATATGTGATAAACAGCACATTGTTCGTTGTCTAGTCTGGGTGGTTGAAATATCAGTGCTCACTGTGAAATTCTTTCAACTTTTCTTTGTGTTTGAAACTTTCAAAATAAAATGTTGGGGAAAAATTTGAGCAAGCCTGAGCTCTCTGTCTTCCAGGTATTCCCATGTCCAGGCTTTGAGGAGTTTGTTTTGTCACAATGAGTGGTGCCCCTGGGGTGGTCTTCACAAATAGATGTGCTTAGTGTTGCCTGGCTACGTGGTTTTTCTCCTAAAAGCATCGTTTTCTTATTAAGAGGATTTTAGTTTCCCTAGCTATTATTTCACTGTCTAATTCTAAATGACACATTGCCTTTTCTAGGTTTATTTATGAAACAGAGCATCACAATGGCATAGCAGAATTACTGGAAATATTGGGAAGGTACGTTATCTCTGTTATTGGTAACGAATGGCTTGAGATGGAATTTATGCCAGAATGATCCAAGCCATTGAGTTCAACTACCCCTCTCCCCAAAGCAAAGCAATTTAAACCATTCTCAAAAAGAACTAAAATAAGATCACACTTAATGGAAGGAGTTGAGGAGCTTTTGGATTCAAACACACTAAATGACAAATCTCCCATTTGTGTGGTTCTTATGTAGATTCTATTGCGTATACCTCAATAGCATTACTATGGAATCACAATTTCAGTTATTTCCTCAAGGGCAATGTTAAAAATAGTTACATTAAGAAGAATAGATCATTTATTGTACATTTAGGGAATTGAGTAAATGCTAATATTTCAAATTGCTTTGATTTTATAAATTATTCATATGTATACTTATAATTAACATTTCAAAAATTTCATCATCTTAATACAAGTAAAGTTTTTGCTTGCTAGAACTTTTTTAAATCAATGATTTTTTTTTTAAATCGATGACCTATAGATTTTATATTAGATCACCTACCTGATCCACTGTTTCCCAGACAGAGTTCCTTGGGGTTCTGTGGCCACATGAGCTTGGCAGTGCTTTTTCTCCAAGCCTTTCTTGGAGATTTCGTGTATTAGCAACTAACGGTTCTGAGAAACCCTGTGGGGAAGAAACCTGTGAACTCTGGTTTAATCTAGCGACTCCCAAAAGTATTTGAGCACCAGAAGCTTTTCTCAAGGGTCACTCTTGTCATCTGGTGGATCTGCGGTCCTGCCCAGGAGTTCTGAGAAAAACTGTCCTTGCTGTTTTAGGTATAATTTGAAGAAGTGTTAGTCCTCGTGGAGAATTCTCCCTCACTGGTTCCAGCACACTCGGGCCTCTCAGTAGGGTGTAGTGAGCGGTAGAGTGGGTGCTCTTTCTAGTTGTACGACCTTACTCAGCCCCTGTTTGCTTCTGTATCTATGAAATGGGAAGACACATATTCACCTCCTAGGTTGTTGTGAGGCTAGGGAGAACTGTGTAGTGTCAGCACAGCCTGCCCACATGGCACACACAGGCCTCTGGGCTCCTCCCCCTCCTAGGATTGGTTATTTTATCCTTTCAGAAGAGGCCTTTGATCGTGAGGGTTTACCCCCATGTGAGTGAGCATATCATCCTTGATGGCCATTTAAGACTGACCCTTCCTGCAGCACTCACGTGCCTGAGATTTGTGAATGACAGAGGACTGATTTAGAAATTGCTTTAACTGCTTCTGTAGCTCTCAGTAACGTTTATCTGCACTTGCCTAATGAGAAAACCGAACAGATGAACTACTTGCTGTTAACAGACAAAAACTTCAGTTTGGGGGTTAAGAGTAGGACCCCCTTTCCCTGCAGAAGGGAACAGCTTTCTTGCTGATTTTTAACCAATGCCCATTCTGCACATTCAGACTCTGTTCTGCCAGCATCCGAATAATAAGCCAGAATTTCTCTGGGAAAGTGCGAATTCCTAAAGATGGCTGAAGGCCAGGGGAAGGTGCTGGGGTCCTGCTGAACTGCTTGGTGTTTGTGGTCTAAGGAAGGAGGTTTTGCCCCCAGAGACTGCTGCTGTTCTGGCTAACACCCTGTAAGCCCAGAATTTTAAAATTATCCTGTAGTTGCAAGATAAAAATGACTGTGCTTCCTTGAATGTATTTAATTTTCTTTTTAATTTCTGCTGATAATCCTTCTTTTTCTGAAACATATATTTTGCTTGTTGGTTTTCATGCTGGAAAAAACTGAAAGAAAAACAGCAAGATATTTTTTTAAATATTCAAACTTGGAATAAATTCTGTTTTCACAGTATAATTAATGGGTTTGCCTTACCACTAAAAGAAGAGCACAAGATTTTCTTATTGAAGGTGTTGCTCCCTTTGCACAAAGTGAAATCTCTGAGTGTCTACCATCCACAGGTAAGGGGGTCCAACAATGACATGGTGTGGGGGGGTCACTCGTTAGCACAGCTGTCTTCACTTGAACAGTGTTAACGCACGCTATTGAATCCCAGCCTTTTAACTGGGAGTGTTTTTTTCCTTATATCACACTGTTGACTCAGGTATCAAGGTTCTGGTAATGAGTGAAAGGATAGAGGGTACAAAGAGATTCCTTTTAAGAAAATCAGAAACCAGAAAATTAGGAATGGAGAATTTCAAAATTATTTTCAAGTCCAGGAGGATGTCTCAGAGGAGAGTTTTCTGTAGTATAATTTAAAATCTGTTACCTTAAGGGAAAAGCCTATATGTCCATGGCCTATGAAAAAGTTTTTTGGTTTCTTTTAAGCTGTGGATTTGAAAAACTTTTCAAAAATCTAATGACAGTTATACTGAAAAATTGTCCATAAGTGGTTACTAACTGCTGGTTAGTTGGCGGTGTTTACCCAGGAGGTTTGGTTTTTCCTTCACTCTTATTCTTCTAAGTTCTGTGTAGACAGCACTTCAGCTCCACTGACTGCAGTGTGCTGGGGGGTTGGGGGAGGCCCCCTCCTGCAGCTGCAGTCAGCGTGCTGGTTCACTGGTGGCTCAGCCCAGGGCCTGGCGCCCAGGAGGCACGCCAGCGCGTGTTTAAGAACCCAGGGAGCTCCATTCTGAAGGCCTGACCGCGGGAGTTTTCAGTGTGGGATAAATTACAGAAAGTATATTCTCTAGATGATTCTAATGACGTTGGCTTCCTGGGAAATATTTTACTTAGTTTTTTCTCTGGTTACTATTATCTGGTAATATCTTTACACCCAGCCCTGTTGTTATCAAGTTAATTGTTCTGTAGAAGAAATTAATAGTTCGGAGATTTAAGATGGAACAAGATTTTAATTCGGTTTTTCCCAGCTGTTAGGTTACTTGTTCATTACAATCTCCAAAAAGACCACAAGAAAAATCCCCAGCAAACCCGGGCTGCCACGTTGGCGTTGGTCTAGAAGGCTGTTTCCTGGTTTCTTTAGCTCTTCGATGTGCCGTCAGCCGCAATGGGGAGCATGGTTTGTTGCACATTGGTCTTGGGTCCCTCTCTGAGAGGCCCACTCAGAGCCTCCTGCAGAGCCTGTGGAGGGGAGCCCACGCTGCCCAGCTGGGGGGCACGCCAGGGACAGCACCTGATCACTTGTCTCAGCAGAGGAAGGCGTTTAACTGTGACATTGGAAGAAACACGGCAGCACTTCCATGTTAAAATGGAATGTTAATACTTTTTCTCCTTTTACTTTTTAGCTGGCGTACTGTGTAGTGCAGTTTTTAGAAAAGGACAGCACCCTCACTGAACCAGTAAGTAGACCCTCTCTGCCAGGGCCTTGTAATGTAATGTGTGTGTTTTGCTAAATGTAAATATCCCAATATGTCTGCTTCACACCAAAGAGCTGTGCAGACAGTTTTTCATCTTGTTAAAATACTAATAAATAGACTGATGTCGTTCATGTGTTATAGGTTTTCAAAGTGTGGTCATTTTAATTACAAGTTCCTCTATTGCCTCTATTGTGATTATTTTATGTAATGAGGTCACCATCTTGTCCCTTATTGCACTTGACTGCTTTGAACACAGCACTTTAGCAGGCGTGGCTGATAAATCGTGTGCAGTTTAATACGTTCATGGCTCTTGGTTTAACAACGTATTTAACTGACTTCAGTCAGAGGAATTGTAGTGAGGGTTCAAAATGCTTGTACTAAAGAGGTTTTACTATCCGGAAACTTCTTTCCCAGTTAAGAGTGTTAACTGTGTGTGTGTGTGTGTGTGCGCGTGCGTGCGTGCGTGCGTGTGTGTGTATGCGTATGCGCGCGCGCGCGGAAGATCGACCCTGAGCTAACATCTGCCAATCCTCCTCTTTTTTTGCTGAGGAAGACTGACCCTGGGCTAACATCCATGCCTATCTTCCTCTACTTTATATGGGACGCCGCCACAGCATGGCTCGACAAGCGGTGTGTTGGTGCGTGCCCGGGATCCAAACCGGCGAACCCCAGGCCGCCGCAGCGGAGCGTGCGCACTTAACCGCTTACGCCACCGGGCCGGCCCCAAGTGTAACTATTTTATGATCATTGCATCACAAGTGAATGTTACCATTTAGTGTTTAGATTTCTAAATTTCTTGGCATTTTTATCTTTATTGTAACAAAGTCAGGTGTCTCAGGTACAAGTTGAAGCAGTTAAATATGCTTTTTTAACAGCTTGGAGATATAATTCACCTACCATACAGCTCACCCATTTAAAATGTACAAGTCAGTGGTTTTTGGTATATTACATTATTAATATTTTTAATTGTGGTAACATATATATAACACAAAATTTTCTATTTTAGCTGTACAGTTTAGTGGCATTAATTACATTCACAATGTTGTGCAACTGTCACTATTTCCAAAACATTTTCATGGCCCCAAGCAGAAACTCTGTACCAGTTAAATAATAACTCCCCACTTCTCCTACCCTCAGCCCCTGGTAATCTCTAGTCTACTTTCTGTCTTGATGAATTTGACTGTTCTAAGTACCTCATATAAGTGGAATCATACACAACTTGTCCTTTTGTGACTGGCTTATTTCACTCAGCATAATGTCCTCAGCATTCATCTGTACTGTGGCATGTATGAGAACTTCATTTTTTGTTATGGCTGAATGGTATTCTGTTGTATGGATATACCACATTTTGTTGATCCATTCACATGTCAATGGACACTTGAGTTGTTTTCACATTTTGGCTATTGTAAATAATGCTGCATGGGTGTGCAAATATCTCTTCAAGTCCCTGCTTTCAATTCCTTTGGGTATATACCCAGAAGTGGAATTGCTGAATCATGTGGTAATTCTATGTTTAACTCTTTGAGGAACAGCCATGCTGTTTTCCACAGCTGCTGCACCATTTTACATTCCCATCAATAGTGCACAAGGGTTCCAGTTTCTCCACATCCTCTCCAACCCTTGTTATTTTTCTTTTTTTTTATTACAGTCATCCTAGTGAATGTGAAGTGGTATCTCATTTGTGATTTTTTATTTGCTTTTCATTAATGACTAATGATGTTGGATATCTTTTCATGTGCATGTTGGCCATTTGTGGATTCTTCTTTGAAGAAATATCTTTAAATCCATTACCCATTTTTTAATTGGGTGGTTTTTTACTATTGAGTAACAAAGTGAGAAGTATTAGGTGCCAGTTTAAATGTTTGAGTACTCTTTTAAAAGTTACTATTGGGATAGAGAAGGTAAATATTGTAATTCCTGCATCTTTTCTGTCCCTTTAGCAGTCTTTCACAGTTTTCTTGTGAGATTGTAATTTTTATAGTGAAAATACCTGAGAAATTCTTAATACTGTATTCCTGAGGTAAACTGGCTTCTGATCTCTGCTTTCTTTTAAGCGTCTAAATTCTGGGTGTAGACTCCCCCATCTCACCCACAAATTCAGGAAAAGCCCTTGATCACATCCCTCAGCTGCTGGCTGTAGAGGTGACAGGGGCTACAGAGGTGACCTGTCCCTGTACCCTCCTCCCCGGGGTCTCCTCACGCCTATGCCTCAGCTGCTGGCTGCAGAGGTGACAGGGGCTGCAGAGGTGACCCGTCCCTGCACCATCCTCCCTGGGGTCTCCTCATGCCTATGCCTCAGCTCTGTCTGAGATTCTGGAAGCCCCCAAGGAAATGTACTGAATCTTATTAGATTTCAATATCAAACACAAAGCATTTACTCCAGTTCAGGGTAAGGATATGTTATTTTTATCCTCCATAACTAAACCGAAGTTTAGGTAGGGAAAGAAAAATGAGACGACACTAGTAATACAAAGGCCTTTTTTAATATTGTTTCTCCAGTGGTGACACGTCCTAATTCCTCTGTCTGTATTTGAAGGTCTTCTCCAAACTAAAGGGTGAGAATTTTTACTGGAGAAAGTGCTATGTAAAGAATCCTGACACACGCTCATGTCCTTTTCCTACTTCAAAAATAAAAGGGGAAAGAAAAATATGGGAGGAGAGGAAAAGCATGCCATTTTGTTTTATGATTTTTCTTTGTACGTATTTCTCACACTCTCCAGTGGCTAAAGGATTCACCAGATGTTACACTATGTTTATGTAGACTAAGCTTCTCCCACCGAGCACCCACCTCAGCACCTCAGGTCCTGCCCATGTCCTCAGAGCATGAATCCTAGTCCTGCCCCAGCAAGGCTCAGTGAGTGGGTTACACCCTGTTGTCCCTTCTGCCTAAAAGTAATATGGAAGTTTATGAATGGTTTTAATTCCCACTAATAAAGCTAAAATAACTTTGAAGAGTGAGAACTTTTAGTTGCAATTGTCTAAAAGAAGGTGAGAGACGGTGTGCTGGCTTCGGTTGGGTCCTTCTATCTTAAATCGTGGGTAGAAAACTTGGCCTTGGCACAAACAAAAAGATGCTCCAAGCCCCCACACACCCAGGCCCTGGTATTTCCACCCAGAATCACTTCATTTCTTAATTTCCTACAGCACAGATAATAGCAGTACTCTATCGACTGTAGACAGCGGATTTAATTTCTGCACATTGAAAACGTTCAGACCTTCGCCTCAGTAAATTCCTTCCGTTGAAATTCACATATTATGAAAATACAAAGGCCAGTTGGTCTTACTTCAGCATGGAAAGCTTGTCAAAAGTCAGATGAAGGGCTGGCCCCGTGGCTTAGCAGTTAAGTGTGTGCGCTCCACTACTGGCGGCCCAGGTTCAGATCCCAGGTGCGCAC